TTTTTTCGTTACTCTTTTGATTACTGAAATAAATTTTTTAATTCTATGTTCAATTTTGGCATTTCTTTTTGGACCAAATTTGGGTTTTGAGCCGGATTTTTGTCACCTAAGTTAAAATTCAATCTTCGTTTAGCGTCCAGAGACCCAGTTCCCCGAGGTAGAACGTTAGGTGTATATATATATTTATGTATATATTTATTATTTATGTTTGCATCTGTATTTTCTCCACCAACTGACTCGTCTCTTTCTGTCTAAAAGATGTTGATCTTCGATCTCTTACTGAAAATACTAAATAACATCATCATCTTGAAATATGTGTTCTGTTCTATTTGAACTTTTTCATAAAAAACTTCATCTTTTTCTGCATTTAGACAGTGTAAAATATGTAGAAGACTATCACTTTCATTTTATTTCTCTAAACTTGTTTCTGAATTTTTTTCTCTGTATACTCTTAATACATTATTTGAAGCTACTATGATTATTATTTTTGTGTCATCAACAACTAATTCCCTAGGTCTACCTTCTTCTAATTAACTTAACGGATTTTCTTCAATATTTTATCCTAATGTTCTCAAACTTTTTAATTTATCTCTTTCTTTCTCTAAATTTGCTACTTTTATAAGAAATCTATCGTTATACCTATCCTGAAAAACTAATTTTTAAATCCTGCTTTCCTCTTATCTATCTATAGAATAGTTTTATCAGCTGCTCAATATTTTAATTGATGATTACTTGTGTATGTGTATTCTCTCTCTCTCTCTCTCTCTCTCTCTCTATATATATATATATATATATACTAATAGGAAACTTATGTAGCACCAATTAAATATTCTCAAAGGCGCTATCGTAAACAGAAGTCTACAATACTATTAATAAGAAGAAAACTTAAGTAAAATTATCAAAGTTTAACGGTGAATAAATATGTTTTTAGTTCTTTTTTAAATGTTCTAAGAGACAGTCCGGACGATCGCAATGACTGTGGCAAGCTGTTCCACACAGTCAGACCTGCAACAGAGATACTCTGTGCACCAATCTGCAAGTGTGAAGCCGATATTGTCAACAAGTTCATATCATCTGACCGTAGTGAGACGACGCAGACATTTTTTTTTGAAAATTTATTTACGATATATTCCGGTGACATCCCATTCAGTGATTTAAACACAAGTACAGCGATTTTGAAGGTTACTCTTTTGTGTATAATTAAATATTATTCTCTTTCTTTATGTATATATATATTTATATAAATGCAATGAATTGTAATAATGCATACAGTAGTTTAGCATTTATAGCGTTGCTTAATTTTCTATTTAATTTTTCAATCTTTCTTATGATGATCGTGGGTATATATACTGTTGTCCTAACTTAATCGCTTACATCTTTTCAAATTTCAATTAAATCAATCATTTCAACCAAGTCAATCATCGTTTCAATCTAATCAATTTTGTTACGATCGTAAATTTCACAAACTCCAAAATTAATTGTATCTCGAACCGTTTTTTTGTACGCTCTATAATATAGGGTCTATATATTTAGCGTTTCTAACAAACTTCAAATTGCATTACTTAATTTTTATGTCATTGAGATGTGAAAACACTTGTCAATCCAACAATTCAATCATTTCCTCATTCACAATCATTCATTTCACTTGTATATTATTCAATCCAAGAACTTCTAACTAAACAAATTCTAAAGAATGTTTATGTCTCCGGTGGTGCACCCGTTTAACCATTGAAAAACCTATTAATTTAATTTAAAAATTTCAACGGAAGGATTGTATCTGATTGAGAGTGCTCAAGTTTAAAATTTGCACTACAATTTTTAACTTGGTCAACAATGTTTCACGATTTAATTGTACGTCGTTAACGAAAATGTTAGCTATCTTCAGAAACCATTCCGAACGTTTACGTAGCATTTACTTTGTGTCTTCATGTTTGTTTTTGTCCGTGTTCAAATGGCGACGATGACAATTGTTATAACAAAATAGATTTATAATTTTGACATGAAAACTACATGACTTAAAGGTTTTTTACCATGCAATTTATTTGAAATATGCAAGTATAGATGCGTAAGGTGAGGCCTCTGTTCAACGTTAAACAATTCATGTCAAGCTATAAATGAAAACTTAACAAAACGTACCGGAGCAACCCAGCGACATTCTTAACAAG